AGGTAGCTATCTATGGGTGATTCCATTCAAGAAGTTCCGCAGCTGTTTGGAGGCCACGTGAATTCCAAAGGCGTTCTCCACTAAGCGGGGGTCCTGAACTAAACCCCCTCAATTACTCGGTTCGGGCGGAGCTCAACAGGGTGGTCTACAGTGGCGGAGAAATCAACGATCTCGCTCAACTCCGGTACCCACTCACTTTCGCGCGGCCGAATCTCTCGATGGCGCTCCTCCAGAAGGCTGTGGCGGAGTATCATTATAGTATTTAATGTGCTCTTTAATATGGTAGTAAAAATGTCCGATAAAAATTTAATAAAGTGTAACTTATAGCGCCTTGAAAGTCATGGAGGCAAAATGACTTTTTTTTGCCCCCCCCCCCCCCCCTGTACATTTCATGTTAGGTCATGGTAGCTGACAGTATATGGGGATAGCCAAAATGACTTGGGCGACTTGTTTTATTGGATGCCCGATATTTGATTCAATGGACAGCCCTTGGTTGAGTGGAATCAGCAGGTAGCAGGACACGTCGTACCAGGGTTAAACGTTGGGAGATGGCTTTTCACCCATATCGACCAAGCTTTTCCCTTCAAAGTCATCGATCATAAAAGAAGCAACTATCAGTTCTAGAAGACTTGCAGTTCTAGCTCGTACTGACAGTAAGACGCTCGGATACCTTAATGAAGCTTGACGGCCTTTCATCACAATAAAGGAATAAAGGTGAGCACCGAACCTCAAACCGTTCATTTCAACTGCTCCGCCCTATGTGGCCATTCAAGATAATATTAGGTTGTCCGGAAAGTTCTCAGCGTTTTGGGTGTTTCACTTTAAACGATCGTAACTTTTTTAATACTCATCGGATTTAATCGAAATAAGCACCATTCGAATCAGCACACTTTTGCCAATGTGACAGCAGTCGAGAAATCCCATCAAAGGAAAAACTGGGTGGTCGAGAATCCACGAAATCCACGAAGGTCTTTTTTGCCTGGTCCTAATTGATGAAGTATTTTCCAGCAAGGAAGTTCTGAAAATGTTTGAAAAGGTGATAGTCGGTTGGTGAAAGGTCTGGAGAATATGGCGGGTGAGGTAGAACTTCAACCCCCAATTCGTTCAATTTATGGATAGTGATTTGTGAAACGTGTGGGCGGGCGTTGTCATGCAAAAGAATCGGACCCTTTCTGTTGACAAGTGCTGGCTGCAGCTGACGCAATTTTCGGTACATTTCGTCGATTTCAGTAGGACTCTGCTGTGATGGTTTGGCCTGGTGATAAAAAGTTATAGTGGATCACACCAGCCGATGACCACCACACTGTGACCATAATTTTTTCGTGAGGATTCGGCTTTGGAAATTGCCTCGGTGGTTCGTCGGCATCCAACCACTGTCCGGAACGTCTCCTGTTATCATACATGATCCACTTTTCATCACAGGTGACAATTCGGTCCAAAAACGGGTCGTTTCTGTTGCGCAAAAGCAGTGAAGAAGAAACCTCGAGACGTGCCAATTTCTGCCGGTCACTCAAATTGTGGGGCACCCACTTGTCGAGTTTTTTCACCTTCCCAATGCGTTTCAGACCATCCGCAACAGTGGATTTGCCAACGCCTAGCTTTTCTGCAATCTCTCGAACTGTTTGGGATGGGTCAGCCTCCAAACCCTTCAAATCCTCGTCAGGTATTGCTTTAGGTCGACCGCTACGAGGTTCATCTTCAAGGCTGAAATCTCCAGAACGAAATTTGTCGAACCATTGTCGCACGGTGCTTTCTCCAACACTATTGGGCCCCACACCTGGTTAATTTGTCGAGCTGTCTCGACTGCGGATTGACCCAATTTTTAGTTGAAGAAAAATATCGTCCGAAGTTGCTCTTTTGACATGCGCAATGGTGAAACGGCAATTATACCATCAGATAGCGCAAAAAATTCTCTTCAGGATGTACTACTGAGACGCAAGGGAGAATGAGTTTTTAATCAGCAATGAATGTACAAAAAATAGTAACACAAAACGCTGAGAACTTTCCGGACAACCTAATACTGACGTACTACGCTTGTGAGGCGGAGGTGTGGCCGAAGCCAGGCCCGGCTCTCGGGTGGCGAGGCATTTTTTTCTACTGGGGATGGCGAAGCGGCACTACAATCGTCTGTAGTGATGAGAACACTAGTTTACATCGGCTGGCACCCCCAAACCATTAAGTAGGCCTCATCGCATCCTTTATCATTCAACTACCTTTGCGTAGCAAGAAATAACTTTTCAAGGCACATCGTTGATGGGAATCCCCAACAGGGGGTAGTATTCGGTCGCCGGGAGATGGATGGGGTCGTATTTGGGCTGAGAAAAATTTATTTTGATAGTTGATTTTTCTCGCTTCACGGACGTTGTAAAAGGGGAGGGTGTCGTACTTTCTCGCTGTTCTATCCTCCTGGGAGAGGTGGCTGACTTTTCGTAATTTTCCTGTTTCGTGTTCGTGTGTACTATGAACTCCTCCCGCCCCCCCCCCGCTCGACAGCAAAATTTTTAGGTAAATGTAAGGAGGTTTTCGGAAAATTTTATAAAGTGGCAGGAAGTTGGGGAAGAACTGAGAATTGGTAGAGGGGGATCGTATTTTTCTCCTCGCGGCTCTTCCCTCTTCACTTGCGCTATTTGCCGACCCCTCCCCACGCTCGATGAGGAGGGACAGAGGGCCGGAGAGGGGGGGGGGGTCGTACCAACCCGCAAAAAAAGGTGGGAAATGTGCGGACTCGACCAAAATCCCCAACCAATGATGCGCCCTGTGTCCTTTTTGCAACGATACTACCCGCTCGGTGCAACGTGAGCGCTAGAAACGAAAAAAGTATGTATTTCTTTCTTGCGTATCAAAGCGTATCATTTTGCGTTGTTAGCAAGAATTGACCAAAATACCCCTCCCCCTCTCTTTTCCCGGGAAAAATGCGTCATTTTCCCTTTTCAACACCTACTGCAACAGCGTCATCACTTTTCATCTGCAATTAGCAGCAATTTCTGAATTATTGATTCCCGAGGAAACGTGGGAATGCAGGAACGACATCAAGTGTCGCTGCGAAGAACATTGATGATGTAAAAACGAATGATGTTGAACCTTGCTGTGCCGAGTTTCGCTCGTCCGGAGAATTGCATCAATAGGCCTAGATTGCTGATAATTCCAATAATAATCAATGTCAACTGCAAGGAAATAACGAGATTGTCCACTGTAGGAGCCTGAAACTCTCTAATTTTTGCGAATAAGATAAATATTCAGAAAGTTTCTCCAGCTTACCAGGTAGATGTCGTTGCACTGCGGATGAGTCTCGTTTGTGATGATGATCATGTCTGCAGCTGAAATGCGTCTAAAACAGGAAAGAATGCATTGCGACTGTCTCCATAATGAATATTCTATTTTTCAGTATGTACGATCTGAAATTTAAAAAAAAATGTGGGGTATGGGGTTGCAGAGAAACTTTCATTCGACGGAAAGGAGCCCAATGAGGTAAACTTGTTAGCAATAAATCTAAAAAGTAATTAATCGAATATCAAAAGCACACATGTTCCAGTAAGTGCGAAATAGTGCAATGCGCCCTTCTGATTGAGAATGAATTTCACCGGTCCGCCCCCCCCCCTCATCTCCCTCTCCTTTCACCCTCGACGGCAGCGGCCACCCAGTCAGTCCAATCTGAGCTCTGGCGAAATAAGCACTGAGCAAACAAAAGCTGTCGAGCCGCCAACGCCGCAGCCCTGCCGAAGTGTGGAAATCCCGACAATCAACGACACCCTCTGTAAAGCCGACCAATTTTCAGAAGGCTGTTTTGTGAAATGCATTTGCAAAAAGATCCTATTTGGCATCGGATGTTGCTCTGCACTGGGATTTGTCTAATCACCCTAGGCCATCTAACGAAAGGAAAAGAGATAGCGCCTTTGAAAAGACTTAAATGAAAAGAAAGTTTGTCAAAAGACCTAATGCTAATCAGTGGAAGAGATACTGTAGTCTGAGCGTCGAGAATTCGAAAATTGGTTCATGCGCTGGATATCCAGGCCACAGAAGTTCGGGAATTTTTAAGACCCTCTAGGTGATCTAACTAAACAGCATCACAGCAAAAATGTTACCATAGGAATCGTCGCATAACAGATGTTCCTTTTGATAGAGAATCCGCTCCCATAAAAGGATATCAAATTAGGGTATAAAAGGAAGCACTCGCCGTCGACTTAGTTGCTTGACTTGCTTTGTTGGTTTGAGTTGCATTTGGAAAAGAGGAGAAAAAAAGACCGTTCCGCAAATTCAATGACCTACGCGAACGTCAGCAGAACTCTGCTGATGTCAATTTCTGGGCAAGGAACGCTAACCTATGCGGTTCCAAGTAGTTGAAAACTTTACCGATCATTGAGATGCACTGACGCAATGCTCATGCAGATGCGAGAGCAACAGTGCGGCGACGCTTTAGCCAAATCAGCAAGATGCGACTTGGAGCGCATATTACCGAATGAAGATTTATAACTTCGGAAAGTTTTTCTGCAGATTAGATCCTCAGAAGTGAAGCTTCTCATGAGTCCTCCCACTTACAACCCAGATGTGACTTCAACTGTAATCTTTGTGCAAAAAGAGACGATAACTTTGAGATCCCAAGGATGAGGTTGCATTTGCGTTAGAGAAGAATGTTTTCTGCTGTTGGCTTCTTTCCATTTTTTTTCCTGTTTAGGCTCATCCCCCTCCCTCCCGACGCAATCGTAATTTCTTTTTTCAGGAGAAAAGACAAGGAATTTGTGAAAAATCCTAAAACTTAGGAAAGGCGGAAGGAAGTTACGATAATTCAATGATACGCTAGGTGAGACGAGGAAATGGATAGCGTCGCAGGCCCGATTATCGAGGATGGGGTCATAATTTGCAACAATCAGCGAGCGGCAGGGCGTGCCCTGTATCCTACGAAATTGGGACTTTCAATTTTTACGTTTCGGTTCCTATTTCAATTTTTTTTTCAATTTTTGGCAACATACGAAGTTACAGCCGTAATACGCTATACTAATTGTGAATCAATTAATATATGGATCCAACCCGAGAACATGCAAAATATGGATCAATGCCAGCTAATCTCGTTAAGTTTTTCGACTTCTGCTCAATTTCGGCACCCTCTCAGAAGCCCAGCAATCAGCGTGCGAGGGATGAAGCGTTTCCATCATGTGCTGCACATACTCGTCAACCTATCTTCATCTGAAGAAGAAGATTCCTTATTTCCACCGATCTATTTCAAAACGTCGCAAGTCGAGGGCCAAACAGTCACTCATATCTAAAGATGCGTAATGAATTTCGACAAAAAATGGATGAAAGCCGAAAACCCCGAACAAGAAACATGAGCTTCAGGTTCATTTCTGAGGCGTGGAGAAAGAGATTTATTAACCGAGTAGCTAAATATCAAGTTACAGTTTAACTTTTTAAATTATAAACTCCTGCAAGGACACGTTATAAAAGGAGTTTTATAGGATAGCGACGTTCAATCGCAAACCTGAAGTCGCTGAGTCAATTTCTAGGGAAGAGAAAAGCAAAAAGTCGTAGAAACACCCTAAGTAAGGATCCCTGGCAGCCTTGCTGGATGGGTCCCTCGGACCTGCTCGTTCTATGCCAACAAAGCAATATGCCGCCTCTGTCTCAAGTCGTTTCTAAAATGAAATGTGAAATGGGGCGGGGCAACTAGGGAGGCGTCATGTCTGTCATTCATGAGAGAAAGTTGGAAAATCATAGAAAGAGAGGCCAGACCTCTCGAAAATCAAGGACGCCTACATACCGGTCAAGGGCGGAGACTGTCTTCATGGACACTACTGTGTATTCAACGAAAATTTAGCTCTTCATGCCACCGTTCGTCACCCATTGGAATTATCGCTTCCAGACGGGTAAAGCTTAGGGAGAATTGGGAGAGGTATATTACATAGCAGATCTAACAGCGAAAGAAAAGATAATCCGATTCACATGCGTCATTCGTGACGTGCTTCGGGGAAACTAATGATCCATAAAAAGCACAGCGAGGGTAGATACGTAATATCCATTACATGAAGGAAAGGATTTTTGATCCCCATTTTTGCCCAGTAGAAATATTTTTGAAAGTCGACCTTGCGGTGGGTTACAAAGCTTCTGTCGACCGGATGCTTATTTCGCGGAGAGGGTCTAGAGGTATTTTCTCACAGTAGTTTCTGGCTGAGCACTTGAAATTAGGTAAGAGGAAAGAGAGAAGAAAGGAGGGGAAGATACAGGGAGGAAGAAAAAGGAAGGAGCAGGAAGTCATCGCGGCTGACAGATATCCTAGGACGTGACTTCTGTGGATTAAATGCAACCTGGTGCTAACGCAGTCTCGTTCGCTGGGGGACATGGGGCGTGTCAGGGCGGCTACGTTTGCGCGCGGTCACCCCGTTCTCCACTAATTGCAGAAGAGGGTAAGTGGCAACAAGTGGCTGAAGCTGATACGAACGATATGATAGAGTCTTGTAGCTAGCCGAAAGAAAAGAAGAAAAGGAGCGGGTGGCCGCCTCGCTGACAATCCCCATCTTCCAGGCGAATGAGACTACAGCTCTCATCCTCCCATGATTCTTTTTATCAGATGAAAGGACCCCGAATGAAAACCGAAAAGGTTGTCTGCGCTTTCTGTGCTTATTCTCTCCAGCCCTAATCTGAAGGTCTTGATTGGGATGAAGAACTCCAGGGTTACTGAAAGCCTTGTTACCAGTCACAAATCCATAACAAAAAGTACGAAAAGTCGAATTGTTGAAATCGTGAGGTTTTCTTTGGTAGCAACGTCAAAGTGCAATATATACGTCATAATATAATACAATAATAAAGTGCGCAGATGGCCAAGCCAAGCTCGGGCACTGCTGACGCATTCAATTGGCTACGTGGCTTCTCAACCAACCCGGTACAAGCGATGTCTGAACAATCTTGGAGTCTGGACACAAACTTAACATTTGAAAACAAGGCAAATTTTCAAGGGATTACTGTAGAAAAGTCCTATAAAGGAATCGAAGATCTAAGAAAGCGATACCTATGTGGATCGAGAGGACTGAGAGTTCAAGTGAGAGATGCACAGATGTGACCCTACCAAACTCTTCTTGACCTTTATACCACAAGCTATTTATAAAATAGGGAAACGTTGCTCGTCAGCTTGCAAAAATCATAGCATCTATAAATATTATACAGAGGGAGGGGGAGGCCAAAGAAAGACACTTTTATCCTCGACTTCCAAGGCGATATAAGTTACACTAGATCAAGTTCTGATTGGACATTTCCCACCACCATATTCAACAGCATATTGTGCACTATCACGATATATTGTGTACTCCGCCACAGCCTTCTGGACGAGCGCCATCGAGAGATTCTGCCACGCGACCGTGATTCGGTGCCTGAGTTCAGCGAGATCGTTGATTTCTCCGCCACTGTAGACCACCCTGTTGAGCTCGACCCGGTAATTGAGGGGGTTTAGGTCAGGTGACACACTTAGATATTCCCTTCTTCTTCAGGTACTCAACGCCCTTCCATTCCAAGTAGGCGAGAGTTTTCCAACGCCCTTCGATTCCGTGTGGTGACTCAATCCTGTAGCAGTACGAAGTTTCCAAGATGGTATGGCGACGACATGAAGGCAGGATATTCTCCTCGAGCTGGTCGATGTAACTGTTAGCGTTCACGTATAGTCCGGAGTCTACAAAGAAAATATCGGTCTTCTATTCCGGAAAGTTCCGGTCCATACCATCAACTCGCGCCTTGGCGACTGCGGTGAAGATGATATCCTGGACCGTAGCGACGTTGTCGGAGCTGCTCGATGTTGGAGGTCTTCCAGATCAAGAGTGTCGGTCCCCAGGTAGCTGTCCATGGGTGACTCCATACAAGAAGTTTCGCAGCTGTTTGGATGTGAATTCCAGGCCTCTCCAGTCAAGCTACGATTGGAGATGACTTCATATTTTGGTGTACATGAAGGATGGGCGAGAGCCTGCTCCTGCTTATCGAGGAACATTGGGTATCTTCCGCCCTGGTACTCGTATCCACGTCTTCTGCCTAGGCTGCGAAAACTTTGCTGATATGTGACTCGCCCAGAGTGTCTTTTTTGCCCCTCCCCTGTAAAGCGCAGCGCTTTGTTCGACCCAGAGATCTGAAGATGTATTCCACGACCGGCTTTCAATTAATCTCGGCATATAAGCGTAGTATACTGTTTCTTGATCCTTTAGCCTTCCGAGATTGTTAAAGACGTTTTATTAGACTAACGTTTCGGCGAAAATCGCCTTCTTCGGAGTCCTGAAAGTCAAAAGCACATTATCGAAACACTTCGCCCAAAAACCAACATCACTTTACAAAAGAAACCAAGGGTAGGGAATCAGGGAACGAAACCGTAACGGAACAACAACTCACCTTTCAGGCTGCGTTTATACTTTGCGGCAGCGTAGCGTAGAGTAGCGCAGCAGCGTACGCCAGCGGCAGTGCCGGGGAGAGGATGGATATCGATCTAGCGTTCCCAGCGTCACCAGCGTAACGCTAGCGTACGCCAGCGTTTCTCCAGCGTTTCACCAGCTGTTGGTAGAGACTATGTGGCCGTCAGAGACGCAGAATCGATGTGTATGGTAGAGACTATGTGGCCGTCAGAGACGCGGAATCGATGTGTATTGTAGAGACTGAGGGCGAGTGAGAGGCGCGCAATCGATATATTTTGTACCCTCCAGCTCTCCCATAGTCTCTACTTGCTGGCGTTTGCAGCGGCGGGGGAGTAGGGACTATGTGGCCGTCAGAGACGCGCAATCGATGTATTTTGTACCCTCCAGCTCTCCCATAGTCTCTACTTGCTGGCGTTTGCAGCGACGGGGAGTAGGGACTAATGTGGCCACCCCCCCCCCCCCCCCCCCCCCCCCCCGTCAGAGACGCAGAATCGATGTGTATTGTAGAGACTATGTGGCCGTGAGAGACGCGCAATCGATGTGTTTTGTACCCTCCAGCTCTCCCATAGTCTCTACTCCCCTGCCGCTGCAAACGCTAGCAAAACGCTGGTGACGCTGGGAACGCTAGATCGATATGCATCCTCTCCCCGGCACTGCCGCTGGCGTACGCTGGAAGCGCTAAGCTGCCGCAAAGTATAAACGCAGCCTTACTGATGTGGAACTCTACCGGGCACTCTGAGTCTAGAGCCTGAGCGGTGCTTTTATATGAGTTCCAGCTCAGAGTTTCTCGGGTCAAAGGGCTCTAGGGACCATTTGGCACTGTGAGCATTGGGATCTGAAGATGAGCAAGCAGACCATCTACCAATAATATAACTCTTCTATGCCACACTGAGAGCTTTCAGATTTACAAGAGACGCCATTAACGTGAACGTCACATGCTCTATGATGAGAATACGCATTCCCTCGCAGAAAGGTGGCCCAT